ATATATATATTTAAAACACTCAAGTTTCTAGTCCATATTGATGCAGAGAGAAACTGGAGAACAGACAGGCAGGGGATGGTACCGTCTGTCATTCTCTCTTGCACTCTCATGCCCCCTTCCTCTCCATTTTCTCCTTGCTGGAGAGCAGGACTCCGTAAACCCTCGTGTTTTGCTGCTTTTATCTTCCAGAGGTCTCCCCTCCATCTGTGGAAGAGCTTCGGCAGCAAAAGGCTTTTGTGAAGCTCCTGAAAAAGCAGTACCGGGAGCTGAAGGAGCTCCGTCGGAAGCACATGAAGAAGATTTGCAGTCTCAACAAGAAGCAGAACGCGCAGCTAACGCTGGAAAGAAGCCGGCTGCGGAGCCGGGAAGGGTGAGGATCGCAGATTTTGCACGCGTAGAACAAGGTGCGCGGTGAAAGAGATTAAGAGGAGATTCACTGGGCAGAGGAGGAGAATTTTAGCAGGTTTTCCCTGCTATGGAGTAATTTAGAGCAATTTCTCCATGCAGAAAAGGAGATTTAGAGCAGATTCTTCATGCAGAAAAGGAGATTTAGGGCAGATTTTCTATGCAGAAAAGGAGATTTAGAGCAGATTCCCCATGCAGAAAAGGAGATTTAGAAAACATTGCTTCTCCCTAGATATTTCGGGCTGCAGAACAGTTTTAAAAAATTGCCCTTCATCTCTCGCGGAACCCCACAGTTCTCACGGAAACTAAGGTTTGGTGGAATGCTTTGAAAAACTTGGCTGTACAGGGTTGTCTAAACTGGACACTGGGCCCAACTAGAGATTCAGGCCAGATGCCCGTTCTGGAAAGCGGAACGAATTGGCCGGGACCCTGTTAACCCTCTCCAAACCAGTTCAGCGCCAGGCAGTGGGAGCGGAGGCATGTTCTGGCCTTGGCGCATAGATTATCCTCCCAAAGATGGCGAGGTCGCCTCTGCTGCGGTCCGAGCTGACTTTTTTCACGCTCTTCTTGGTGGGTAGGTCTCAGAGCTCTTTAGAGGGAGCCCGGCACGCGCAGGAACACGAGGACACTCAACGGAAGCTCGACCTACAGGAGTGGCAGATACAGGGCCTGCTACGGCTGCGCGAGGCTCAGCATCGGCTGGAGAGGGAGTTGAAGCGAGATCACCTGCGCCAGGTATCCTACAGACAGTGCGCTCTCACCCATCCTCCGGCTACGCACACCCTGACTCCATGACACAATTCCCGGGCGGCCTCGGAGGTTGATCGTGCACATCTCGCAGGCGTCATGTTTCTAGTCCTCATGGCGAAAGGGGAAAAAAAGTCAGAAACCGCAACCGAGGGGGTGGCCTGGGCCATCTTTGTGAAACAAAAACAGCTCAGAAGCACAATCTTTCCATCCTTCTTTTCCCTGCTCTTGAGAAAACGGGCTGCTTGAAGGAGCCCAGTCCAGAATTAAATTCTCAGTTCAGCAGAATTTCCTTAAAGCAGGGAAAAGAACCGGTAACTCTTTTTACCTCCGCCTCTGTTTACCACATCTGGGACACAGACGTCAAAACCCATCAGTGGAACTATTTTATATACCCTTAATATTTTCCCATTAGGCCAAAGAGACAGTGCTGTGATTTGGCCATGGATGTATATTTGACCCAAATAGGTGCTCGGTTTTTAATTTCTCTTTTCTCCCTTCTTCTTCAGGCCCAACAGCGCTTGAGAGAGATTTCTCAGGATTACCAAACTGCTCAATTGAAGAAGCTGAAAGAAACCAGTGAAAAGTGAGTTGTAGCACGATGAGAAATGACAAGGACTGCGGGAAGAGGGTGGGAATTTCCCCTTTCTCTTCCCTCAACCATCGTGCGTTGCCCTGAGGGTGTTTTTTTTAGGGATTTAAGAAAATTATTTTGTACCTGATCAAACTGTTCATTCCTCTACTTCTGTATTTGTGAGCTGGGTACAATAACCTTGTCTGATGTTTTTAAATTTCGCCGTCCTCAGATCTGATGGAAAAGTCTGTCCGCCAACTGCAATTTAGTAATCAACTCTAGCACATTTTGGAATTTTGCTCCCCAGCCACAACTTTCTGGGGTTTTGAAAAAAAGATAACCCAGCACATTGTCCCATAGATTTGGCCCTAACGTCCCTGGTCACTCCCTTTCTGATTAGAGAGAAGAAAGAGCTGCAGAAAATCCTGGATCGAAAACGGCATAACAGTATCACCGAAGCGAAATCCCGTGAGAGGAGCAAGAAGGACGTGTGAGTTAAGCTGGGGGAGAATGACAGACAAATTTCTCATACGGCAGGCAAGATTCAAGGGTAGGAAGATGTTGGAAGATGCAGGCATCCGAGCGATTTGCAGAGGTGTTTTATTTAAAAAAAAATGAAATGTATGAATACATTTAAATTTTTACTCATATATTTTTATTGTTTAAAAAAGGGCTCAAACGTAACTCTTGGAAAAGTGAAAAGAGGAGGTCAGGCAGAGTCCACTGGAGTGGGTGGCTGTATTAAATTTAATTAATCGTCATCTTGAGGTTTCCTAGAATTTGCTCAGTAACCCTTTATTACACCCCCTAATCAGGCCAAATCAGTAGCTGGGTGTAAACCTCACACGGAGGCTAGTAAAAAGTTGATCACCCCTGCTGGAAATGGATCACCTTGCTAGTAAGATCTGCCGGGTCTTCCAAGTGGTAAATGAAAGGGACCAGCTTATCTTGCAGCTCTCCTTCTGAAAGAAATTAGCCCATTTTTTTTAGGCGTGGTGAAGCAGCCATACTTGGTTAATAATTAAACCCTTACATGTGCTTCGTATGGGGGAATGAAGGCAAGTTGGGGGGTGCCCTTAACCTTGTTTGTCCCTCCGCAGGGAGCTAGCAGAAATAAACCGAAGGCATATCACCGAGTCCGTAAACTCCATTCGCAGGGTAAGCAACTGTTCTAGCAACCCAGCGTTTCTATACCCATCTCCAATGGTTATGTGCAATTCCCTTTTTTCTAATGGAAGCCAAAAGGCTCTCCTCCTCGCGCAATAGGGGTGATAATGTCACAGCTGGGGGAATCTCAAAGTTTTAAAAATTATAAGGAAAAGAAGAAATGGGAGGAATGCTCAGACGTGTCCTAGGCAGGTCGACCTTAGGCGGGCGGAATTGAAAATGGAGTATTTTGGATTATCAGAATGGTCGATAATCTTTCAATTTTCTTTAAATGCTCAGCCAGGGAGATATACAGGTGTTACACTATGTTGTGTCCCCATGGATGAAGTTTTGCATTGCTTCTATCCCCTGCAAGTTTGGGAAGGGGATTTCTCTGTTTTTCTGCGGTGTATATCCTGTCTGGTGTTTTCAGCTTCACGGGCCATCGGGAGGGAGTATGTGACTTTTTTCAATCTTATTAGGGATCATCCGATGTGCGCAGCCCGTAGAGATGTGAATCCCACAGAATAAGATTTGGCTCTGCACATCGGATGATTCCTAATAAGGTTGAAACCAAGTTTGTGCTGCTTCCTGATGGCCAGAGGAACTGAAAAAACCAATCAGATCTATTGGCCTTTTTTTTTTTTTTACAATGCTTCGTTTTCCCCGCTCCATTTTTTAAAAAATTTTAAAATGAGCTTTGTGGAGGTCCTGACAATTCAGCCGTTCTTGTCGGCTCACGGGGAAAATAACCTTGCATCGCTAAGTGGAGTTGGCTGTTGGAAGAACAGCCGAAGAGAAAAATATGCGCCTTCAGGGCTCTTACGCTCCCAAGAATAAATAAACAGTTATTTTACCTGGTCTTGAGTTCGCCAGCTCTTAATTTCTTCTTTATTTGGATTAGCAGAATGAGTTTCCTTCCCATCCTTGCTCTTCCAAAAATCAAATGCCAGCTGGCAAGCCAAATATAAATCCCAGCAGAAATTAAAAGCTACTAACCCCAAAAACAAACAGACCCTTAAACGACGGTAAATAGGTGTCACAAAAAAACCCCACAAACTAGCAGACATCAAGATTTCCAAATGTGTAAAGAAGGGAGGGGGGGGAAGAAAACTCAGCCAAGGATACAGTTCCAGAGAAAACCTTTCTTAATTGGGTGGATGTTTTTGAGCTGAGCCCCCAAACAAATGAAAAACCAATCAAGGTGGCTTAGGTTTAACCTGCCCCAGATTCTGAACCAGAGAATATTTCTGGATTGTCTTCAAGGGGCGGTCCCAGGTCAATCGCAATACAGTAGTCCAGACTGGAGCGAACGAAACAGGACCAGGTTTGATTCCCCTGGAAAAGAGTATCCATGCTGAAGCAGGTGATAAATTCAGAAGGCTGTTCTTCTCCTTTGCTCACTTCTCTTTTTCAATCCCCCAGCTTGAAGAGGCTCAGAAACGACGCCAGGAAAAGCTACTTTTGGGGCACCAGGAAATAGTGCAGTTGATTGAAGAGGAAGAGCCACGGGTGAGTGGTTTTACAGGCCACCAAGACCAATCTTGGATCATCCGTCCATCCATCCATCCATCCATCCATCCATCCATCCATCCATCCATCCATCCATATTTGTTGTGACCGCCAGTCGTAACGAATAAGATAAAACCTACCCAAAGTGGCCGGCTGTTATTAAAATGGATTAAAAAGTGCAGAAATCAATAAGTGTGTTAAAACGCTGTTATTACAGCCGACAAAATAGTAAAGAAACATTAGGAACTTTGGATAAAATCATGTCTCTGGCAGCAACTCGTGAAAAAGTCGCTGACCTCCGGAATGGGGTCTTCCTTGTCTAAATTCATTAAATATCCTATTTTAGGTGAATCAGGACAGAACTGTTTTCCTGAGTTACTAAGTAAACAAAAGAAACCGACGTTTAGCAACATGCGTGAACCTAGCCAGGATGTTCAATAACAAAGAAATTGAAAGAGCCTTGGATAATATCGGAATTAAGAGAGAAAGAATATTGTTTAAGATTAGGAGGAACGGGGAAAAAATTGAAGGCAGAACATTTTGGGATCTGCCTCAAATCTACTTGATTGGGAAAAGGAGGAAATCGATGAAGAAATGGACGAGATGTACGGGATAAATTCTAGATATGCCAAGAAAAACAGTGTTCCGAGAGATGTGTACTTTGTAAGGAAGAAGATCAGATTCTTCAGGAGCACTTTAAAAATAGACTGAAAATAAAGGACAAAGAAGTTATTGTACTGAAAGAAATACCAGCCAGGATTTTACAAAGAGAAAAGATTATTCTTTTCTAGCAGATGCACTTAAAATCCATCCTCTGTGCACCATCCAGGCAGGAGTCACTGCTGAGAGATGGGCAGTTCTGTAAAATGTTTAAATAGCAAATAAAGTAAGAGAGATTGACGTTTAGCAATGTGTGCGAACCTAGCCAGGATGTTGCTGTAATGGTGTGCGGGAAAGACCTTGGGAGACAGGGTGAAGAGACGCTGCTTAAGGAATGGTCAGATAAGGGATGGCTTAGCCCACAGCTGTATAATGGGTGGAGAAAGAGGCTCAGAAAGGACCCTTCCTAGTTTCTCGGGCTGTAAAAGAGATGGAGGGAGAATGGTACTTTCAGACTTGCAAGATTCTGTCAATGTAGCTTTACAATAAAGTAGAATTAGCTCAACTGGTCGTGTTTCCTGTCTGGTCTACCTGGGAAGGCTGACAAAATCTGAACCACGTTGATTGTTTGGTTA